GTCGCCTTATACACTGGCAAATATGGTAAACAGAATTGACAAGTATATAGTGAAGTCGGGGGAAAATATTTGTCTCCTGCAAACACACCATTAATGGTTTCTGAAGAAAAGTTTTAAACACAGAGTTCTCCAGAGGTGCCTAAGGCTATACACAGTATTGACAATGGTGCCAATCAATTCTGAGAAATTATTCAGCTTCAGACAGCCACACATGTGCTTTCTTTATGGCAACCACTACTTTACTTCTCCATGTAGATCCACAAACCAGAAAGGATACAATGGTACAGAATCGCCCTATGTAATAACATTTAAACACAGTTTCATGCTCAACTCTGTTCAGGAAAAAGAGAGAAAGCTATTTGTTGAAATACATATGAAAAGCCGGTATAAATCCATATACAAACCCAAAGAATCACAAGATAACTAAATAGGCACAGAATAAGGAGGGTGGGGTCTTTTTAAAATTATACATTGTGAAGAGTTAGGAAGAATGGTCAATTCACATCCTAAAAAGGTTTTCAATAATCTAGCACAGCAGTCCCCAACCTTTTTGCGTGCCAGTTGGGGTGTGTGGGCTCCGTGTGCAAGGAGGGTGGTGGGCATGTCATGCTTGCGGGTGGGCATGCCGTGCTCGTGGATGGGTGTGTTGCACTTGTGCACATGTGTGACAATGCGACACGTCCCTCCGTGAGCGCGACACACCCACCAGGCGGGCGGGGGGGTGGACCCCTGATCTAGCACATTCCCTAAAAAATCTGGGAGACAATGTCCACAATCCTATTAGATCTGCCCACCGGGTAACACCATCTACATAACTTTCAGTGGTGAATTGCCACAAGTTAAGAAGTCAGTGCAGCTTCTCCTGTTGTACACTAGGCACTTAACACAGTCTGCAGTAGGAAATGCCCATCCTTATTTTTCAACTTGTGGCAATTTGATACTCAACATTACGCTGCTGGTATTACAACAGCAGAAATATACTGATAGGATTCTAACTAGTGAAGCAGCAAAATTGCTATGGACACAACTTTATTCAAGATTATTTATTATCTCTTTTGGAGCTTAATGTTTAATGGTCATTCAATTTTGTGGATTTGGTTTTTTGTTTTCCCATGTTATTCTTTATATTTCTATTATTATGCCATTTTATGCTGATGTTGAGGGGTGAGGCTATTTGTTGTGGAATTGATTCTCCTATTCACTGCCCAGAGTAGTGAATTCTGTTATAAATTGTAAATATGTAATAGACATCAGAATTCTTTATTAACTAAAGGAAATACAGTGGTGCCCCGCATAGCGAGGTTAATCCGTTCCGGATTAACCATCGTTATAAGAAAACATCGCTAAACAGGATGGAAAATGCCATTGGACCGCATTAAACTTAGTTTAATGTGTTCCAATGGCTTCTGTACTCACCGTTAAGCGAAGTTTTCCCCATCCGCAGCCATTTTCGCGCCCTCGGTAAGTGAGGACAGGGCGCGAAAACGCTGCGCACGGCCATTTTGGGCATCCGGTGGCCATTTTGAAACCGCTGAACAGCTGATCTGCGGGCGTCGCAATGCGAGTTTTGCCCATTGCGGCGGTTGGGATGCCTTCGCATTAGCGATCCCAAAAAAGGGATCGGTATGCGAATTCATCGTTATATGGTGTGCTCGTTAAGTGAGGCACCACTGTACATACTTACATCAATTTCAGCCAGAAAACGATTAATACAGACATTTCAATACTATGGAGCATGGTATGTACACTGTTTGCCCAACATTATTATTTGTTTGAGAAAAAAGTTGTATCTAACACTCCCGTATTTTAAATGGGAGATAGAGGCACATTAACGTATTCTGAAAGCTTTATTCCAAGTTCCATAATCCTCACCCTTTTTAATAACAGAAACATAGGTAATAGGGTCTATTAAGAGTAAAACAGTAATAATTTGTTGCTGTTGTTTAGTTGTTAAGCTGTGTCCGACTCTTCGTGACCCCATGGACCAGAGCACGCCAGGCCCTCCTGTCTTCCACTGCCTCCTGGAGTCGGGTCAAATTCACATTGGTAGCTTTGATGACACTGTCCAACCGTCTCGTCCTCTGTCGTCCCCTTCTCCTCTTGCCTTCACACTTTCCCAACATCAGGGTCTTTTCCAGGGAGATTTCTCTTCTCATGAAATGGCCAAAGTATTGAAGCCTCAGCTTCAGGATCTGTCCTTCCAGTGAGCACTCAGGGCTGATTTCCTTCAGAATGGATATGTTTGATTTCCTTGCAGTCCAGGAGACTCTCAAGAGCCTCCTCCAGCACCACAATTCAAAAGCAGCAATTCTCCGGCGGTCAGCCTTCTTTATGGTCCAGCTCTCACTTCCAGACATTGCTACTGGAAAAACCATAGCTTTGACTATGTAGACCTTTGCCGGTAAGGTGATGTCTCTGCTTTTAAAGATCTGTCTAGATTTGTCATCTAGCAAATGTCAAGAAGCAAATGTCTTTTAATTTTGTGGCTGCTGTCACCATCTGCAGTGACCATGGAGCCCAAGAAAGTAAAATCTGCCACTGCCTTCATATCTTCCCTTTCTATTTGCCAGGAGATGATGGGACCAGTGGCCATGATCTTATTGTTGTTGGTTTTTTATGTTGAGCTTCAGTCCATTTTTGGCACTCTCCTCTTTCACCCTCATTAAGAAGTTCTTTAATTCCTCCTCACTTTCTGCCATCAGAGTGGAATCATCTGCATACCTGAGGTTGTTGATGTTTCTTCCGGGAATCGTAATTCTGGCTTGGGATTCCTCCAGTCCAGCCTTTTGCATGATGTATTCTGCATATAAGTTAAATTAGCAGGGAGACAATATATAGCTTTGTCATACTCCTTTCCCAATTTTGAGCCAATCAGTTGTTCCATACCCAGTTCTAACTGTTGCTTCCTGTCCCACATATAGATTTTTCAGGAGATGGATAAGGTGGTCAGGCACTCCCATTTCTTTAAGAACTTGTCATAGTTTCCTGTGGTCCATACTTTCAAAGGCTTTTGTCTAGTCAATGAAGCAGAAGGAGATGTTTTTCTGGAACACTCTGGCTTTCTCCATAATCCAGCGCATGTTAGCAGTTTGGTCTTGAGTTCCTCTGCCCCTTCGAAATGCAGCTTGTACTTCTGCAAGTTCTCAGTCCACATACAATCCCCTTCATGGATTGCTGCCTTGTCATGGCAAAGAGGTTTGAGTAATTCAGAGAAGCTATGGGCTATGCTTCTATACAAGGGACGTGGTTGTGCTGCAGGTTAAACCGCAGAAGCCTCTGTGCTGCAAGGTCAGAAGACCAGCAGTCGTAATATTGAATCCACGTGAGGGAGTGAGCTCCCATCGCTTGTCCCAGCTCCTGCCAACCTAGCAATTCAAAAGCAAGTAAATATGTGTAGATAAGTAGATACCACCACAATGGGAAGGTAACGGTGTTCTGTGTCTAATCGTGCTGGCCATGTGACCAGGGAAACTGTCTACGGACAAACGCTGGCTCTACGTCTTGGAGATGGGGATGAGCACCGCATCCTAGAGTCAGACACAACTAGACTAAATGTCAAGGGGAACCTTTACCTTTACTTATGGGCTATACCATAGAGGGCCACCCAAGACAGACAGATCATAGTGGAGAGTTCTGATTAAATGCAATCCACCTGGAGCAGGAACTGGCAAGCTACTCCAATATCTTTGTTGAGAAAACTCTATGGACAGAAAATACCAACCACCTAAAAGCCTAATACACTGTGAGTATTCATAGCACTGGAGGTATGGCTTAGGTTGAGAAATATAGAGGGCCACCCAAGACAGGCAGATCATAGTGGAGAGTTCTGATTAAATGCAATCCACCTGGAGCAGGAACTGGCAAGCTACTCCAATATCTTTATCGAGAAAACTCTATGGACAGAAACAGTAATAATACCAACCACATAAAAGCCTAATACACAGTGAGTGTTCACAGCACTGGAGGTATGGCTTAGGTTGAGAAATTTGTGAGATCATTCTAGTCTTTGGCACAGTCATTCAGACCCTTTGGAGTCTTCCTAATTTGAATGGGCTACTAACATCATAAATTATGACTTCTCAGGATTAGCTTCAGATTTCACTGGTAGTAGAATTGATCTGTAACAGGCAGTAACAGCATTCAGATGATTTTTTCAATGTCTATATCATGAGGCTAAGGAGTTATCTTCAACAGTTCCACCACAGCTGAGTTAGTCATGAAGCCCTGGAGCCTCAACAGAATAAAAGACAAACATCTTTCCTGTAAACTTCCAATAACACTTTTACAAAGTTGCCCTTAACATTTTAATGTAGGTAGGACGTAGTTAAACAAAAATGTGGCAATTTTAAACTTCTGAGACCACATAAAATAATAAGATAGAAGTGAAAATTAGATAGGATAGATAGGTGGTTTTCAATCTTTGGTCCTCCCGATGCTTTAGACTTCATCTCTCAGAAGCCCCAAGCAGCACCCCCAATGGTTCAGGGTTCTAGGAGCTGAAGAGAGAGGAAACACAGGACTATGGAGACTGCAGAGAGTTATTCAAGTGGATACAAACTCATTTACTAATGTTCAAAATATTACAAAATCAAAGAAAACAATAATATAATATAATATAATTGGCAATAATTAAAAAAGGAAGCTTCCCCTCCACCCAGGAGTTAAAAACATATTATATCATGAAAAACTGCTATAGTAAGTGATTTAGCTTTACCTTTTTGTCCCTACTAAATAATGATTGTTATTAAAACAATATGGGAATATTTTTCTTTATCATAGTGCCTGCGGAAATTATATCAGCTACGGCCCTACCTGGACGAGCAGAGTCTCATGACAGTTACACACACACTGATAACATCCCGCATAGATTACTGCAATGCGCTCTACGTGGGGCTGCCTTTGAAGACGGTCCGGTGACTGCAACTGGTCCAGAATCGAGCTGCGAGGCTGGTGAGTGGTGCGGCCGCTAGGGAACATATCAAGCCGATTCTGTATAAGCTACATTGGCTACCAGTTGCTGCCCCGGCCCAATTCAAAGTGCTTGTTTTGACATATAAAGCCCTAAATGGCTTGGGCCCTGGATACCTGAAGGACCACCTCCTTCCATATGAACCTACCCGGCAGTTAAGATCTAGCCAGGGGGCCCTTTTGAAAGAGCCGTCCCCTAAGGAGGTAAGAGGGACAGCTTGTAGACAAAGGGCCTTTCCGGCAGCTGCCCCCAGACTATGGAATGCCCTCCTGACTGAGATTCGTCTGGCGCCGACACTGATGACATTTCGGCGCCAAGTCAAAACCTTCCTGTTCCAGAAGGCTTTTAATTGAAATAATATTAGCTGTGGGTCCGATGGCAATTTTTATATATATTTTAATTGTATTTTAATGG